GCGCGGCTGTGGGGCGGCGGTCCGCCCGCCCTTCGTGGCCTCTGTGTAAAATGCGGGAAGCGAGTACGCTTTCGGCACTGCCTGGGCACCACTTGGCTCTGAGTTGTTTTGGGTTTGTGTTTGTTGGGTTTTTTTTAAATTGAAAAATAACCTCGTCCTGGAGGTTTTACTAGAGCTAACTGTACCAATAAAAGGCATCTGCAGGGATACAGCATTGTGGCCTGAGTAATCGCTAAATTACACATTTAGTATTCATCTTGGTACAATGTTTTTAACGCTTCAGCAAAAGATGGGCAAGTAGAATTTTCATGCAAAATGAAGGGAAAATAAAAAGTCGTGTAAGAACTCCTGGGTGCTTTTGATGGAGCAGTTTCAGCTGGATGGTGGCCTTGATCAGGTTGATGCCAATGCAGCGATGTGGGGGAGGAATAAGGCAGCACGCAGTTACGGATAGAAGAAGAGATGGGGAAAAACACCGCTTCATGTTGCCCTGAGTGGAACTGGTATTTGGCCCTGGGAAAAGCCCATGTGCTGGTACTGGATGCAGGAGCTTTAGACCTCTTGAGTGAGAAAGGCTGTTCATGGCAGTCTTACACCCTTTCCGCTTGAGAATGTGGAACTATGAGAATTTTGTGAAAAAGGCATGACCCTCTTCAAAGTCCAAGGAAAATTTAGTAATGATCTAAAAGATTCTGACCTCTATTAGTTCTGCATCAAAAGGAATAACAGTGCCAATTAATTTAATGGCATGTGTAGAATATGCAAAAGACTGTGTTGCAGAGGTCTGAAGATTGACTGACTTGCCCTGTGCAACCCTCTGTAGAAATCAAATCATTCAGGTGGGAAGGCACCCCAGGAGCTCTCTACTCCAACCTGCTGCTCGCGGCAGGGTCAGCTCTGAGGCCAGTTCAGGTTCCTCAGGGCTTTATCCTTGGAAAACCCCAAGGACTGAGACTAGGCAGCCTATACCACTGCTTGCCTGCCTTCAGGGGGGAAAAAAAATTCTAATATCCAGTCAGAATATTCTTTCAGTTTATGCCTGATTTCCTAAATACTAGTATGTGTTTCGGAAAGAGTGGCTCGTTACTTTAGGTGCAGTATCATGCTGATGTTGCAGCACTGGTGCTGGCCCCAAGAGCACGCTTTACAGTAGTACTGCTGGCTCAAATGTCTCCTCTGATGTGTAGATGTGCTGTAGTTACCCATGTTCCTGTGGTAGAGTGACCAAGCTATGCAAAAATTAAGTTTAAATTTACATGTCTGAAGTTATATATGTTGACAGAATTGTCAATACGTTTATCTAGAGAAAGCTGAATATAAGCTGCCCATCCCAAAAGGAGCGATTGGGAATTCCGTTTTGGAGGTGTAGTTATTACTGTGTCAATTTCTGTGACTCAACTTCTGTGATTACAGCTTTTCAGACTGAAGAATGGCTATCCAGTTCTCTTGTGGGTCATACTATAGCTCTAGTATGTTCCTAATTGAATGGTTGTCAAGGTGTATGGTTTTGCAATTACCTGTTTGCTGTAGCTCCCTGAAAGGTGGTTTGGAAGTCACTGGTCTTTGGCGTTTAGGCCAAGACTGCTAGTAAACTTGTTTGGCATTTGTGTGAGTGCCATAGACCGGGATAACTTGTTTTGTTCTGCAGAGGAGCTCTTAACAGTGGGGATCCTTTTGGCTTATTTTTACGGTCACCTTGAGGAAAGAGTAAGAAGAGTGTTTCATAGGTCTTCATGTCTTAATTGGGAAAGTCCAGTATGTTTTAAAGACAATGTGTGGTGTGAAGTTCTGTTTTGAGACCAGGAACTCTTTGGCTTAGTTGAAAGATTTGTTTTACATTCTAAGACTAGTGGTGGCAGAGTTCACAAAAGTAAAAGATGTAATGGTCTTGTTTAAGACCATCTTTGCCTGGCAATTGAGTGATAACTGTAATTGTTCTTGATAACGTATTTCAGTGTTTCTGGGATTATTTTAACAGTGTGTCCAAAGGTCAAAAAAGCATTGCTTTCTCCCCTTGAAAGGAAAAGTAAGAGACATAATGGAAGACTGAATGGAATTAGGAACGTCCTAGGCTAGGATCAGGGAGCAGTGCTAAGGCTCAACATGAATGAAGTGAAAGCGTCAGGAGTTTTGGAAGGGAACTGTGTGGAAAGGTGTGGATGGGGCTAATTACAGGAAAATTACACCTGTGTGAGAGGTATTTTGTATCATACCCAAAATACAGCTGAAATGTGTTGACAAAGAAAGATGATTCCCTTCATCTGCTTTAGGAGAAGAGGAGGAGACCACCTGCATGACAAACTAGCTAAAGGAAGGTAGGCAAGTTTTACGCTAAAAAAGCAAGTCTAATACCTGATTAATATATGCCGGAGCCAAGATCAATATGTGCTAAGAGCTAAGGAGTCCTGGAAGGTATTGGTATGAAATTCTTCAACTGTTTGTCCTAATACAATGCCAAAGATCAAAAAAATGGGTGTGGTACAACTAAGTGTGATAGCCTCCAAAGGTGTTCACAAGTACACAAATAAGATTGAATGTTCACATATGATAAACTGAATGGTTCTAAATCTTCAGGTCAAGATTATTTTAAGTTCTAGAATTGGCCGTGGAGGTCTATGAATTAAGAATATCCATAGTTTTAAACTAAAATTAAAAAAATTACAAAAATCATAGTAAAATTTGCAGATAACTTTTGAGATGTTTTAATAACTGAGAAAAGAGAAAACCATGTACTTTCCATCCTCAAGCAAAATACACACCGGAGTGAAAAGTCCCGCAAAGAATGGCATGGATTATGGATAATAGCAGGGGAGAAAAAAAGAATGGTAGCATAATTAATGCAGTTTTGTGGAAAATGGGTGTTTGTCCCAAGAAGGGAGGCTTTTGATGATTTCCTAATACACACATAGTACTAGTGTGTGCAACACTTCTTTATGATACTTCTGGGTTTTGGCTCTAAATATAATCAATGCAGTCAATATTAAATTAATAGATCTTAAAAAGAATAAGGAAAAAATAATTAGTTTTCTCTTTGGACATTTGTAGCACAGTCATACTGGGATGTGGGGTTTTTTAGCCCTGATACTGTTTGATCTCTGTATGTGTTCATTGATAGAACTTGACAGATGTTACAAATTGAATGATAAATAATTATTGGTGCAATTTTAATGTTTGGATTTCTTAGCCAGTCTGATAAAGCCAGGAAGAAAGAGACTCACATGTCCAGGATAAGGCGGTATCTTGAATTGCTGGGATATTTAGGGTTGTAGTGGTAAACAATTTTAACTCTAAAGAGCAATGGTATAACTAAGAAGGTGACTGCTTTCTCAGGTGCAGAAAGCACCTGAGTAGCAGAATATTTAGTATGACTAATAGTGGCTAAAAGTAATGCAAGGTTTGACAATGTCTTACAATAGCAAACTAAATATCAGTATTTGTCTGTCTTTATAAACTTACTGTGGATAGAAATTAATAAGAACCAAAGCATAAATACCTGTGCAGGGGTATCTAAAATCTGTCATCCTTCTATTTCCAAATTCAGACAAACACAAATTCAGAAAGACTCATTTTTGGCAAGACCGTTGAGGAAACTTGCATAGGCATGTGCTTGATACTACACTGCTCGAAACCACTGGATACTCTAATATAAAACTGGATTTGTATGTATTACATATGTGAAGCAAAAAATACTGGGCAACATGAGAGGCTGGGGTAGTTACCTGCTATTGACATTCATACTTAAACAGATTGAAGATTTTCAGGTTTCCCTGAAATTAGATATATATTTGCATTTAAGCTAAAACTTTTGTGCTTATTGGATGGTTTTGAAATAGGAAACGCTTTCTGAAACAATCTTTTGACTTTCTTTTGACACTTCCTACTGGAGTTGGTATAAACTCTGCACTCATCTAAACGTAGACAGTGGAAGAAAAGCCAATTACAAATAAGTGATTCTGGCACAGCATAATAACACGTCCTAAATCTATCAATTTTATTTTCCCTAATGAAAAGGATGTTACTTTTTGCGACACTGTAGAAACTGATTCAATTTGATTACTTGTTCAGATTGTTAAGGAATGGGAAAAATAAAAGCAGTCTTACTTAAAAACGCATCTATGCTGCAGTCAAATTCTTGCTAGATTTGTGGCCTGGCAAGATAAGGGAACAGGCTACAAGCACTTCTGTAGGGACAGCAGGCAGGAAAAAAAGACTCTGAGTCAGGGACTGTGTAGTAAGCAATTTTCAAATTACGTATAGCACTTTACTGAAATACTATAGTGGCAATACTCTATGATCTTTATTTCTTATTATTTTAATGTGTTCTTTCTCTTGTAGATAAAGTCTGGGGTAAAATTGAAACAGTATTGATAATATCTTTTCATTGATATTTAAAATTGAAAACTTTCAGTTCTTCAGATAACCAGGATGCAGTTCCAGTGGGACTGGCTGTGCTTGGGTGTCCTGATAATTAGCTCAGTGACTGCAGAAATTGAAAATGAAGAAACTCTGGATGCAGATGTTGAAATGGAGGATTTTGACAAGCAGTCTGAAGAAGCTGATGGTGACACAGAGAAATCTTCCTTGCAGGTAAGATCACAGAAGCCTTTAGCTAAAGCTTGTTTACTTATAAGACACGTAGTTATAACTAGCAGAGAAATTGGTGGACAAATGCATTTTAAAAAGAGCAAGTTAACACGCAGTTGACAACCAAGTGTTGTTCATTAGACATCATGGGTGTCAAAGCCACCAGTCTGAGCTTTTCAGTTGCTGTATGTGACATGTAGGAAAAGCTTAGTGAATGATTCTACTATGCCGAAGTGTAAAATCAGATCTCCTGCCTGTGGTGGGTAGTCATGAAGAAGGTTTTTCTAGTCTGTGCTTCAGTCTAGATACAGAACCTTTTGTTGTAAGTCCTAACATGCCATTTCTAGAGCAGAAAGCATCTTGATCTTATTGAGATTTTGACTTCAGACCAGTTTCTTGATTTCGTCAGTCACAGCTGCCTTTTGACACTGTCTTAATTCCTGGAAAATCTTTCTGCACTTGTTATGATGTACTTCATATAGATGTGGGCAATATTAATAAGTTACTTTTTCAACTTTTTGTTTTTACTGTGTAGCCCAACTGTAGTGTGCCAGGTAGTTAGGAAAATAGAAGAATGGAAAATATGTATAGAAAGAAATAGGGAGGAAGCAGAGAATTGGTGCAAGTTCAGTAAATTTTTCTGGGTTTTTGTTACACATGAGATATGTAACAATACTTTAGCTTTGAACACAGGAAGCAATTTTTTTAAATTCACAGATGTGAAATTGCTCACTGTTAGAGGGATGTGCCCAAACTGTAGAAATGAAAGTGGCACAGATGGGGTGGGGAAAGGTGTGTTAATGCTGCTAGATGTTTCTGTTGAAAAAAATCTGGTAGTCTGTCTGTGTGGACTACTTCTGGATGTACGGTAGTGTATTTCAAATGAAAACTTGTAATTTATGTTAGAGCATGTATCTGTACATGTCTTTTAGGTTGTGTACCAGACTCCAAAGCCAACTGGGGAAGTGTATTTTACAGAAACCTTTGATGGAGTACTGGCTGGGTAAGTTTATGCCTTAAAATTGTAAACTTTTACTTTCAGCAGTTTAACTTACAGTGGCAGGACTTATTTTGTACGTATTTTTCTGCTAGTATCTTTATAAAAATTAATTTTTGCAGGGGTTAGGATTGGGAAGGCTGGTAATGCTTGCTCCAAATACATCATAGTGTTAAACTGGACAGTTAACATTTCAGGTATGTTGCTATTTTTTGTGTTTTAAGGAAGATTTTAATAAACTCTGAGTCTATGGACACTAAGAAAAATAATATAATTTAAAGATTTAGCCAGTTGAGTTTAACTAGCTGCAAGGTGAAATGCATAGCCGTTACACTGCGGTAGCAAACTTTCTTCCTCTTTACATGCACTTAAGTATGTGTAAGAAGGCACCACCTTCAGCATTATAGGTAAAACCTCAATTGGGTAAGACTTTTTTTTAGCAAATGTTTTTTAATTCTTTTTATTGCTTCCCTTACTCACTAAGAATTAGATATTTATGAGACTACTGAAGTGTTCTTAGGTAGTTTGACCTTGCTGCATTGACATTTTAGAAAAAAAACTTCAAGTTTATCTCAATTCTTAAGCCAGAAATTTTTGTCTTGTCTATATCTTATAAGTTTTCCTCCAAGAATTTGGCAATGAAAGGTGCAACTGCTCCTGGGTGACTTTCGGTGCTCAATGAAAAGCAGTGTATTGTGAGGTATAGTCAGTTGCCACCAATGTGCTGTCGATAAGAGTCAGTATAATATATTACTTTCTGTTTCTGGAATAGACTTACTACTTTTATTTGGAAAACAATTTGGCTTACAGTCCTCTTCCTAGCTCAGATGTAAAGGGTGTAGAATATCAAAGAGAAACAAATGAGTACTATGTAAATGTGGTCTGTGTGATCACTAACTTTTCTTTTTTGAATCAAGCCAGGTTAGTGTAGTGTCATTGGCTCAAGTTAAGTAAGTGTGCATCCAAGTAGAATCTCTGAATGCAGTAGAAATCTCTTTAGTAAGAGCTGGTGTGATGAGTTGTTAGAATACTTTCTTGCTATGAGAAAAGTTTTTAAAATGTGAAAGTAAGTCTGGTTTTTAATGACAAGTCAGGTTTTGCTGGTATATTTTTTTTTTTCCTATGCACTTTGCTGTTGAACCAAAGAGCTGTTTCCTGATTTGTGAAGAATCATGAAAAAAGGTGTTTTCCTATGTTAATGGAACAAAAACTAACTCTTGTGAAGAGCCAGACAGAGAGGTGAGAGGAGGTGTAATATGATACATTCATTATGGTAGAACTTAAAGCTGCCTTTTTTTTTTGACGTCCTGTGAGAAGACTGAGATCCAACTACTGTAGGAGTGAGGTTATACCATCATAAGACATGTATGTCTACTGAAGATGCATGATTTAAGCTGTAAACAACGTGGTAGCAGGGACCAGTAACTTCTGTAAGATTAAATCTTAATCCTTTTTTCCAATTGTTTCTAAACTGTTCTCTTCTGTAGAGTCACAGGGCCACTGAACATTAGTCTGTCATTACTCACATTATGTTCTTTCGTATTTGCTTATTTTTGTTACATATTTAGACCAGATGTAGAAGGAAAATAAATTAACAAGCTCCCGTCTTCATGTATCACTTGTCTTAATGATATGTCACTTCTAAATGTTAAGTGCAATACAAAAGCAGTACCAATGAAGACAGGAAAAATTATTAAATAATAATTTAATAAGAGGAGGTGATAATGGTTGTTAAAAAACCCAAACAACTGAAAACCTAGATTAATAAATGCAAAAACTTAACTGGGATACTTGAAAGATACCATTCATCCCAATTTCTAGCTTCATGAGATCTGTTCAAAGGTTAGTTTGTGTTCCTACTGAATCTAATATTCAAAGCTTTAGCTACAATGCTTGGGATTTTTTTAGTCTAGCTGTACATAATGTACATAAGAATAACAAGTATGGAACTAAGGTATATGAGAAAGTAAGCAGCATGTTGCCTTCCTTTCCTAAAATTGGGGAAAAGAATACATATAAAGTGATTAGGTAAACCACCAGCTTTTTTGAGAATGGGCCTTGAAAATCTTCTGCATGACTTGTAGAGATGTTTTATTTCCTCATTAGTCCTTCTCCTGGTAGAGCAAGGATCTAGTTTGCTATTTTGTCTTGAGTTTGTGTGGCAAGGTTTTAGTAACGGTGGGGCTGCAGGGGTGGCTTCTGTGAGAAGCTGCTAGAAGCTTCCCCTGTGTCTGACAGAGCCCCAAAAGGGACCCCAAGAATCTCCCCTTATGTCTGAGGGAGCCAATGCCAGCCGGCTCCAAGTCAGACCCACCACTGGCCAAGGCTGAGCCCATCAGCAATGGTGGTAACGCCTCTGGGATAACATATTTGAGAAGGGGAGGAAAAACTGTGCAACTGCAGCTGGAGAGAGGAGTGAGAAGATGTGAGAGGAACAGCTCTGCAGACACCAAGTTCACTGAAGGAGGGGGGGGAGGTACTCCAGGTGCCAGAGCAGAGATTCCCCTGCAGCCTGTGGTGAAGACCATGGTAAGGCAGGCTGTCCCCCTGCCCCCCTTTCCTGTCCTCACTGTGGAGGACCCCACGCTGGAGCAGGTGGATGCCTGAAGGAGGCTGTGACCCCATGGGAAGCCCATGCTGGAGCAGGCTCTTGGCAGGACCTGCGGTGCTGTGGGGGACCCAAGCTGGAGCAATTTGTGAAGAACTGCAGCCCATGGGAAAGACTCATGTTGGAGAAGTTTTGGAGGACTGTCTTCCGTGGGAGGGACCCCACGCTGGAGCAGGGGCAGAGTGAGAGGAGTCCTCCCTGTGAGGAGAAAGGAGCAGCAGCGACAACGTGTGATGAACTGACCACAACCCCTGTTCCCTGTCCTGTGCCGCTCCTGGGGGAGGAGGTAGAGAATTCAGGAGTGAAGTTAAGCCTGAGAAGGAGGGAGGGGTGGGGGGAAGGTGTTTTTAAGATTTTATTTTTATTTCTCATTACCCTACTCTGATTTGATTGGTAATAAATTAAAGTAATTTCCCCAAGTCGAATCTGTTTTGCCTGTGACAGTAATTGGTGGGTGATCTCCCTGTCCTTATCTCAACCCACTGAGCGTTTCATTGTATTTTCCCTCCCCTGTCCAGGAGGGGAGATGGAGTGGTGTTGGTGGGCACCTGCTGTCCAGCCAGGGTCAACGCACCACACATTTGTACTGTAAAGCTTTTCCGGCATCTCTGTTAACGGTGAACAATCTGACTGAAATTCAGGCAGAAAAGATAAAAGTATTCATCCCTGAAATACTCCATGCAGAGGGCAGTTCAGGATGAATGAAAATAGTTCTTTACAGAATTAATCATGAGAATATGGTATTGTAGTTGATACAATGAGTTCAGTGACACTGTGCATGGGTCAGGATAGAACCACTGTATGATGAGATGAGGTTGGACTGCCCTTTTTCTTTTTGCACCTTTTTTAACCCTCCTCTGAATGAATGCTTTGTGTGTAGAGTATGTGCATATCTGTTTGGTAACCTCAATTTGATAAGCTGAGTTTGCCTTGTTCATAGTATCCAGGAGAACAGAAGTTAGTTTGCCCTGTTGGGATGCCCTGTGTGCAATACGTTTAGAATCTGTTCGGTGCATAGTTGCATTTGTCATTTGGAAACTTTTACCTCTTCCTTTTTTCCTCTGCTCTGCATGTGTACTGTTACTGTTGGATAGCGTTACAGTTTCTTTGGGTGCTTTTTTTCCTTTCCTTATCGTACTGAAGGTTTTGCACTTGACCATTGCTATTTTCCATGTATTTTTGACATTGTATGCTTAGGTAATATTCTTACATTCTGCCAAACTCAGCTTGTATATAAAACTGAAGTGTATTCAGAAAAATTGAGTTACTTTTAGAGTTATAATTGTATGTTCATTTACATTCTTAGGAAGTATTTTGAAATTCTATATTAGACTAATCTATTATTTTTTTTTCCATGTTCTTTGAACTACACAAAGTTCCAGGATGCTGACTGTCAAAATCATTATCAGAGGTTCCCAGCCTAGAAGAGAAAGGTGGCTTTCCAGTGCTTGTTAAATAATACAGCTTTGCCTAGGTAGCTCAATGACTAGTACACTTTTTGTTTTAGGTGGGTGTTGTCTAAAACCAAGAAAGAAGACACGGATGATAACATTGCTAAATATGATGGTAAGCGGTTTTAATGTTTACTTCCACTATATAGTTTCTGATGTTCTATTGCTTTTTGAGAAATAATTACCCCTTACACTGAACTTGAAAACCTAGGTGAGATAGGTCAAAAATGTTAGTTTGTGTAATGACTATTATTCTGAAACTTGAGGTGTGAAATGCTGCTTGTTGGGTTACTTAGCGTGAGAATAATTTTTTTTTATTGCAGTGAATGATACTAGAATACTCTCTGGTATCTGAATATTTGGTATTGATTGTTTATGAATAGTGCTTCTTGAGAGCTGTCTTCTCTCAAATTCTGTCAGAGAGATTTACCACTTCAATTTCAGTTGTTAAACACGTTTTTAAAGCAACATGTTCCATGTTGCTGTTTCTGTCCTACTGATTCATGGGTTCGTCTCCCAGTCTAGCCTCTGAAACAAAGAAGTTAAACTGAATGAGGTTTTTCTTCAAAATACTTTTTCAGATTCACTGTGCTTGAACATAGGGTTCTCCAGTGGTTCTTGTACAGTTTATTCTTACAGTGGTCTTAAAATGTGGAAAGTAATAATGAAAAAGTTGTTTCAATGGCTTTTATCATTGGTGTTTGCCCTTGGCTTATAAATTCCTGGGCTAGAATTGCCTGCTTGAATGTAATTTTAAACTGACAGATGTGTGATCTGTGGGAATAATTTTGCAACCTGAATTTATTTCACTTAAGAGAAAATGGGGAGAACAGAAAAAGTTTCTGCTGCGCAAGAAAAGTATTTGCTACTGCTTTTGTGTGAAATGCAATTAATGTTAATAGAAAGTGATAAGCAGATGTAACTTGTAGGACTTTGGTGTGCAAAACAGTATAGAACAGATGTGATTAGGTTTAGCAGTTACCAGAAATAACTGGTAAGAATAAAGAAGTTGCACAGGAGATATCCATACAGATAAGATGCTTATAAGAACTGACGTCTCTCTGATTACCGGGCCTCATATTAGATAGAAATTGTCTCTAATGTCAAAACAGTCATATTTGCTTAAATTCACCTAGACAATTCAACATTAACGAAGTCTGTGGTGAAAAGACTTTTTTGAACTATTTTCCAATTTAATTTTTTTTGTCTTCTGATTTTGCCTGTCAGTATTGCTTGGTCTTAGGCTCCAGGAAGGAACACTATTGAAGAGGGAATCCTCTAGTCTGTTTAGCAGACTAGAAGAAAGCAGGGATTTGTTGTTGACATGCATATCTGCCCTTCCTTAATGACCTTTCACAAATCACACTTCAGTTGAACAAAAGTAAATAGCTGTTTCATTTGGATTTCACAGTTTATGAATCTTCTTGAAAACACATGCTGAAGAACTCATTACAGTTTCTTCCTTTTGTTCACATTGACGCAGGCTTTTTTCAAGATTACAGTGAATTGTAAAAGTAGTCTGTCTTTTGTGCTGTGTTCATTGATGGGGGAAAAAAAGAAAAGTCAATGAATCTTGTGCTGCTGAGCTCTGAGAAAATATGACTCCCTTTTTAGAAATCTTGTTCCTTGGATATTGCCCATGTGTAATCAATTGTATTTTTCCCAAACTTAGAGAATTTATAATGATATACTCCTTTATTTTTAAAGCTGTAGGCTTGTTTGTTTGTCTTTAAATTAATCAAATCTGACAATTCTTGGAAAGACTTTGTGGGGAGGAGACTTCATCTCTCACATTATTAGATTTGACCTGAAAGATTCTAATTCTGTTTAAGCAGGAGGGGCAGAACCATGCAGGTATCTAGCTGACACAGTGCCTTATGACTTTTTATATGATGATGGTGGGAATAAACCTAAAACCTAGTGAAATACTTCATGTTCCTCTAGGCATTGTGGGATACCACAGTCTAAAGATACTGATCTATGATATTAAAGTTCTGTAGATTTCTGTAAATTTGAGGAGAGCAAGGAATAATATATACTTTACACATGTGCCATCTTTAAAATACTGAAAGCTAGCATTATCCTAACTGGCTAGAACTAATATCTTTTTGGTGAAATGAGAGGTGGGCTTTTCAGTGTAGAGCTATGCATACCCAAAGTGTAGGCATCTCTTTAATTATCTGCCAATTTCTTAACTCCTGAAATAGATTTTTACAATAAAACTCATCAAATATGAACCAGAGCTTTGAAACAGTCTCTGTATTAGCAATGCAAGCATTAGGCTTGAATAAAATGTGTAAAATGTATTGATTCCTGCATACAATATTGCCATTAAGCAGATACCAGTGGATATTCACACTTGGTACAGGTCTGTGCAATAAACTTAATTAAATTTTATGATGGAAAAACAATTTGTTAAATGTGTACATTTTTTTCTATTCAATTTCATTGGTTTATGATCGATTACGGTAAGGATGTAGTTCTTTCCTACTCTGGAGTCCGTGGCTGGCTTTTTTTTAATTGGAAAATTCTGTTTTACACCCAAACCTGGGATTTTGATAATTTTCTTTCTTTTGGTTATAACAGTTACGAAACTGGGATTTTTACTGCTGTAGAAATAGCTACTTGGGGAAAGGAAAAAGAAAAAGCTTGGCACTTGTTGTTACAACTACTTGCACCCTTTCCTCTTTCTTTCCTTCTTGCTGTCTGAGCCAGAACATTGCATTAGATGGATCTTTTGGCATGACACAGTTTTTATTTTATCATCTAGCTGTGGAGCGGGAATTCTAGTGGCTTCTAATTCTTGAAAAGTGATGGTTAAAACATTTTGTCGGTGATCTTTATAGAAAGACATGAGCAGCAAGCTTGTACCATGAATGTTTGTTTTTTTTTTTTTTATGTTTGAGTGCTATAGAGCAGTTAGTTTGGGGAAGTGTAAGCTGGACTTGAGTAATGTTTTGTATCCACAGTAGAATTACCAGTAATGAATTGGATGGTTATTGTTATAACTTCTTTGACATAAGATGTCAAGATTTCTTTCCTACTCTGGCAACTAGTCTTTATTTACTGTTAACTCTTTGCTTTCAGCAAGGCTATGATTTCTTTACTTCAGCCTACGTTTTTTCCAAAGACTCTGTGTTTGTGTGTGTCTTTAGGAAGATGGGAGGTAGAAGAGCTGAAAGAAAACACAGTGCCTGGAGACAGAGGATTAGTGTTAAAATCTGTGGCAAAGCATCATGCAATATCAGCTATGCTCACAAAGGCATTTATTTTCGATAATAAACCTTTGATTGTTCAGTAAGTAATTCCTCATATTTTTTTACTTAAATATTTATTATTAAAATCTGTAAGTCAAGAAAGTAATGTGAGTCCCTGTAGAAAAATACTGACTTTCATATAGCATTGACCTTTCATACCCAGAGCTATCAGAACTGTAAGCATGAATGATTTAATAATCAAGTAAGATTATAGTACAAGTGTTAAGAAGTGGTATTTAAACTCTCTTTTAAAATATTTTTTGACAGAAATCTAATATTTTACAACATTGCTGAAAAAGCTAATTAATTTTCAGTCTTACTCTAAAAGATTTAAATCATATATAGTTTGAGTGCAGTGCTTTTCCACTTACAGCATACTTCTGTGTAGCTCCGTAAAAGCAGCTTGAATCTTGAATGCATTATAGCAGTATCAGTGATGATGAGCACCATGGCAATATGACTACTTTTTTCTGATTTTTCAGACTTGCTTTGTTGTACTTACAAACATATCTAGTTAACTCCTCTGGCTAAATTCAGTATGTCATACAGGCAGTTTCAAAGATGCCACAAACTTTCTAGAACTCTTGCCCATTTCTGCTTCACTTTGATGTTTGCATGTTGGTTGATACTACCTTCAAACTTTTCTTACTGGTGGTAACAACTGTAGCAATTGCTAGCAGTATTTTTTGACTGCTGTGTTAGCTTATGTAGCAATTAAAACCTTTTGGTCCTATAGACGTGTTTTGACAGTAGTGACTAATACACAGTCTTGATGTATTCATAATTAGAACTGCAGATTAGAAGTTAATTTGTATTTGTCTGATACTTGGAATGTTTTTTTAATTTGCTCTTTGCCCAGATATGAAGTGAATTTTCAAGAAGGCATTGACTGTGGTGGTGCATATATTAAACTTCTCTCCAGTAATGATGACTTGAATCTGGTATGTCCTCTTACTCAACATTTGCTATCAGTTGTTCATTGGAGGAATATGTAATTGTTCTTGTGAAATGTCAATAAGAAATTACTTTCTAATGCATCCTAAATTCTTACGTTTTCCAAATGTTTAAGCAGAAGATTGGGCAAGATATTAAGATACATATAATTTATTACATGCACAAAAAACCTTTAGAGTTGTGCATTTTTGATTGGTGGAATATTTGATAACATTATTGTTGTTAGAACTTCCATTTATTTTAATGAAACTTGTAGGTAGTCTAAAACTTAAAGTAAGCTATTAAGATCTATATTTACACAAGAAGTCTTAAAATGTGAATTTCAGAAGGTTAGAATGAAGAGTTTGCTGTGATTAACATACTCCTCTTAGTTCTGCACGAGCAATGTCTTATATCCAGGACAAAGGACTTTCTGCAATAATAGAAGCCATAGAACCTCAACTTGTAGCTTGTGAAACATTTTCTTGGGTTTTTTTTATTGTTTGGCACACAACATGGCATCTTAGAAAGGGCCACGACTTGGATTTAGAAGCTGAAAGTGATGGAGAATCTCTGTTCCCAGGAAAAGGTCTGAATGATCAGGGTTGAAAAATTAATAAGTGCCTTAGTATGCTGGACCATTTTGTAGACTCTTTTTAAATATATTGATGTGAACTTGCCTGTCCTTTCCAAACTTGTCGGCAAAACTCTTTCTTACTATGCCAGTGTAATCAGGTATTTCTCGCTTGAAATTCTGCCTGTTCTATCCACACCTCAGTTCTGGCACATGCTAACTGGTTGTTTCCACTTCTAATATTTCTGCCACTACACTGGGGTGTAGATATAAGCTGTCTAGCCTGAAATGGGGTATATTTTAGCAATTCTTTTTTTTTTTTTTTTTTTACATTCAGAACTGCCAGTGAATTGTGGCATAGGAGCTTGTGCAATGCAAATGTGTTGAGAGGGTAGGAATGGCTGAGATATACAACAGTTGCTGCAGCTGCTTTGGTGGGAGCTGGTGATTTTGGTACATAGCAGCAGTTACAGAATAGGATTATGCATATGGACAGGCTTGGAATGACCAGTGTGGATTCAAAATGGTACATCATGCGGTAGGAGGAACTTGCATTGATTCAGCAGTACAAACATGAAGTGATAAGGGTACTTCCAATCCTGAAGCAGGTTGCTGTGGCCACTTAAAAGCTGACTACCCTAACTGCTATGGCTTTGTGGCTAATTGGTATTGTTGAGCCAGCATTCAGTAGTACAGTGACAGAAGTTTGTGAGGCAATCTCATTCACAACCTGTATAGGCTATAGAAGTTGTTGGGTTTGAGATGCATCAGGCTATACCATTTGCTCAGCAAGATTTGGTAAGGTAGGAAGGCAAGCTCATGTGAAAAACAATAGGGAATAGTCTGGAAAAAAACTTGTAACAGGAGTGTGAGCAGAATTCATCATTTCTTCTCTGGCTGAGATTTTTCATCTGTGCTTTTATCCCTGAGATGCCTGTGCCTACAGCTTGCTGCCTTGACCCATGAGGCCATAACCTTGACTTTCAAGTACTGAGAACAGCAGTGCAGCGCGATGCCCTGTGTATATGCAAAATGAAGAGGAGATTGCTCAAGACATTGCTTGACCTGACCTGCAGATGAATGGTCAGGAAGAACCACTTAACAGTGGGACTCTTTGTGAGGTATAAGGGATAATGTGTACCTCTGCAAAAGTGTAGGAGATGGCGACACGCATAAGAAGTTGCTTGTAAGCATTTCTAAGATGTATTAATAAAAGCTTTAGTGCGTCTTCCTAGTGCTCTTCCTTTTTCCTAAAATTTATATGCTAGTGTGTGTTCAAGTAACTTGAGTACTAATAGATAAGTAATAAAAACACAGAATGCAGGAAAGCAAGTAGAGGCATGACATCTTTCCTAATGGAAAGATAGGTAAATGATAGTAAAAGCAAAAAGTTTTGCATTTTAAAAGAAGGTGTGAGATCAAGATACTGATCTTAATTACACATGAAACTGTAAGTCTCCAGTATCTGTCATCTTACTATAAGGTAAACCAGAAGACAGCAAATGCAAAGTTTGCCTGTTTATGGCCTGGCTCACAACTCATCCTGTACTGTTTTTGGAGTTTCACTGGCTGTGTGATGAGGTAACTTAAAAGAGTCAATGTGTTTTCCCTCTTTTTTTTTTTTTAACCTTTAAAATTGCACATGTCTCAATACTATATATATGCTTATTGCTATTAGAATAGTCAGTTAATTATTGTTAATTCTTAGAGTGATATTTTCCTGAGACTGTTGAATGTTGTAAAAGGGACCAAACTGAAAATACATGCACTTCCGTAGTGCATAAAGTGAAAATGTTTTACATTGCATTCAAAAAAATTTAAAAACACAGACTCATTTCAAACAATACATTTATGTCAGAGTGTATCTTGCAAGGAGAAAACTTCCAGGAATCAAGTGGTTTTCTTCCTTCAAGCAATTGCTTAAGAATGCAAGGCAGCATGTTACTGTGTATTACAAATACAAAAATCATATAAATAGTAGAAAAACACTGGCATATCTAAACAGCTCACTGCAACATACTCTGAAGGACAATAACTATACCTGATATTTTCAGAGTTTGTTGTTATTTAATGTGGAGCAAGAAGACTGATAAAATACTGGATTATAATACCCTGTTTTTTCCCTTTATTAAAAAATAAAATTGATACGAAGAAGAGTAACTAGTTCCTTTCCATCTTTTAGTGTAATGTTTGTAGACGGTTATAGGTATTTGGGTGTTTTGATTTGTGACAGGCATTTCCACTTAATGTAAGGGTAAGGTCTAAATAAATATACTCATCTTCCCTTGAAGAGGCTTAAGTGATCTCTGTGGTTAGCCTGTTCCCTGAGAACAGAGAGCACTCAGCAACTCAAGAGGACTGTTTGATTCCTTTCATGATTTACTCTACCAGGTTTTTGTGTGGGTTTTTCTTTACCTTTTTCTAAAAGGTAACTGTGCTGTATGCTGCAGCACCAAGGAAAAGTATCACCCAAAATGACTTCATAAGACGTACAGTATAACACATGCTCAGCTTTCTTGCTTCTACAGGAATACTTTTTTGACAAAACACCTTATACTATTATGTTTGGACCAGATAAATGTGGAGAAGATTACAAACTACACTTTATCTTCAGACATAAGAATCCTAAAACCGGAGAATATGATGAAAAACATGCAAAACGTCCTGACGTAGACCTAAAAAAATTCTATTTGGACAAGAAGACGCATCTATATACTCTTGGTATTGTTTAATTCTTACAAGTTTAAATTGGAAGGGAGAGATTAAAAATGTGTTTCTGTCTACTGAAGCTTTGTGTTTGAGTCTGCTTTTTTGTTTGTAATAGCCTATTAATTCTGAGGGGTGGTTGCTTAATGATTTGGGCTTATATGATTTAATGACTGGGCTTATCTGCAGGACATAAAAGTGGCTTTGAAATGCTGATGTTTAATATTCAGTTACAGGAAAAAAAGTATCAGCCCTGGCCAGCCTTTAGTGTGAAGAATTGATTAATACTTTCAGTACTTATTATGATAAAAATATTTTTGTTAAGATATTAAAAAACCCATAACTGCCCAATATTCTAGGAAGGCAGCAGTTCATAGGAATCTGGTTAAACCTGCAGCATGCCACACACAACTCTCCTCCCCATGTTAAAAGTTCTCATTAACACCTGCACCTGCAGCAGTGTGCATAGATATGTTATCGCATTCTCTGAAAGTGAATGAATATGGGCTGGTTTTACTTCGTGTGCAATCTCTTTCTGTACCAATGAACAGTATAGCAGAGATGAAAGTTTAATTTCTTAGTTCTTTTTCCCATCTTTTTCTGAACTTCTGAGGAGGAATGAATAATCAGAGGAGACTGGGCTAATCTGTGGCATACTGCAAATCCAGCAAAATTGACTGCACTTTTGAACTTCCATTGAATAATAATGGAAGGCATGTTCAACTGCTGTGCCATGGGCACACTTAACTGTTCTTTATAATAAATTACTGTAGTGTGTGATAGCAAATATTCATTTTTAGATAGTCACAGAATCATTAAGGTTGGAAAAGACCTTTAGGATCATCAAGTCCAACTGTTAACCCAACACCACCATGCCCTCTAAATCATGTCCTGAAGTGCCATGTCTACACGTTTTTTGAATACTTCTGGTGATGGTGACTCCACCCCCTCCCTGGGCAGCCTGTTCCAATGCTTGACCACTAGGAAGAAGTGAAACAAAACAATGTTCTTGTGGTACAGGAATGCATGTGTCCTGTATTTGGGCTATTTATTAGAAATTATGACTAATGATACTTAAACTCAGATTGCATTTATTCTGTTACAGTTGTTCAAATAGCCTCCATAGAGCTGTGTGATTCTGAGGCATTATGTGACTGACTGATAGCATAAGTTTAAAAATCAGTTCTTTGTATTGTATATGAAGTGATATGGGGATTTAATTTTTGCATTTATGGATATTTTAATACTGTTGAATTTAGGCTGCAAGAGCTTCATTAGATATTATCAAACAGTCATTGTAGGACTGCTACTCTGGTTTTCATCACCCGTTTTTATAAAACTGTCACAGAAGTGGAGTAGTATTTACTTTGAATGAATAATCTGTATGTTGAATGGACATTTGAATATACTTGTTAAGCACTTACAAATGTGCTCACTGGTTATTAGAAATGGGTCTGGATACAACATCTGTTACTGAGTCTGACCCTGCTCAGTTCTGTGACCCTGGCTTTTCAGTTACTCTCACTTGCTGAAATACTTAAACATTTGAAGAGCATTTTCTGTCTTCGCAGCCTGGCATTTGAGGGAAATGGCTGTCAAACTCAAAGCAGAGAAAATATTGCTTTGATGACCCTTCAGCTGGTAGCAGAGATGCCTTTTGGGGCAGAGGTTTGTCTTTCATTGTTGGCGTTTTTAATTAGACAAAATTCTGCTTTATTTATTTGAGTGGTAGGTTTTTGAAAAATCTCTTAGAATGTGCTTGGATGTGTTTCAGCAATTGAATTGTCTAAAGGTTTCATTTTTGGGGAGCCTGATGCTGGTCATACATCTCCACAGTAGCAACTTTAATGTTTTTTGTCCAGATCCAGCAACTGGGTGGGGAGTGTCCTGCTCTGCTAGTGAAGATCCTGTTTGCTGTTATTTGTCCAAGGCTGTGCTTATTATAAAGGTTTGGGTTAAAGATACTTGTAAAATGAATGCTTGCCTTATTTCTTTAATACAAGCTTCTTCAATTTAGTGCTAAAACCAGATGATACATTTGAAATGTTAATCGACCAATCGGTTGTCAATAAAGGAAGTCTTCTTGAGGATATGGTTCCTCCAGTAAACCCTCCCAAGGAAACAGAGGATCCTAGTGATAAGAAACCTGATGATTGGGACGAGAGACCAAAAATACCTGATCCAAATGCTGTCAAACCAGATGACTGGTAAGGAGAATATTTTTATCTGTACAATACCTTTTACATGCAGGTTATTAATTTGAAATATTTGATTGGTTTTATTGGGTTTTTTCCTAATGACAATTGGGATATGTTTCACTACTAAAAGTACTAAAGTTTGAAAACATAATTGAGTTGGGTACAAGGATCTGGTTGTCTTGTAAGGAAAGAAATAATTGTGCTTTTGGCTGATTTGTACCCTCCATGGTTGCAATTAATAACTAAGATTACTGTACCTGAAACATTACTGTACCTGGAAGAGGGTTTTTTTTCCACCATATAGTCTTAACTTACACTCAGTGATTTCTACTTCCTTCTGTGTGATCTACTGTTCATACAGCAACTCAGGAAGGGGAGGGAGAAACTTAATGGGAGGGCCTGACTGATGCCTGCCAGTTGATGGCAGCAGTTTCTGGGCTAAGTAGTGCTTTGAAACAATGTAAATATAATTAAAATACTTACAAACAGATAATTGGATGTCTGATAATCAGTGTGTCTAATTCTGTTGTGCCTTTGAAAATCACCCCTTTCAAGCCAGTTACATGAACTGAGGCAGGCTGCTGTATTTTTTGACATAAGTCTGTAATTGAAGGGATGAAGATGAGCCTTCCAAAATAGAAGATCCTGATGCTGTTAAGCCTGAGGGATGGCTTGATGATGAACCGCAGTATGTTCCAGACCCTAATGCCGAAAAACCAAAGGACTGGTAAGAACTTGATCAATAAGTGCAGGTTGTTAACGTGTCTTGTAGGTAAGCCTCCCTGTCCTCTGTGGCAAAATGAGTTGTGGATCAGAAGTCAATCCAAATCACATTGTCTTTTGAGGTAATAAGGTATGGCCAAATATTTGTTGTTTTGGGGGGCTGCTTTTAGAAAAACATGAACATGTCAATTGCCTTTTGTTTTCTGAAGATATATTAAAAAAAAAAAATGAGGACCCCTTTGAACAAATTTGCTACAATATTAAACCATGAAACAGTTTAAGTTGATAACTTGAAATCATCATAATAGTCTCAAAGGGATCTCTGAGCATCATATGGAAAAGTGTTTCAAGCTGTCTGCAGATGCAGGAATATAATTGCATTCAGTCATGCTGTGGTAGTTATGAACATATGACCTTTTTAAAAACAAGGGTGTAGCACTCAAAAAAAAAAAAAAAAGTTTATACTGTTGGGTAAAGTTCTGTGAGCCGGTCAAAACTCTGAGGTGGTTATAGCAAACTGTGTAAGGACCCTAACTTCAGACTGACTGCTAGTGTTCAGATCAGTTGTTTGTAATTTTTTTTTTTATCTGTAGGGATGAAGAAATGGATGGGGAGTGGGAAGCCCCTCAGATCCCTAATCCAAAGTGTGAGAGTGCACCTGGGTGTGGACAGTGGGTGCGTCCCATGAAGAATAACCCAAACTATAAAGGAAAATGGAAAGCACCTATGATAGATAATCCTAACTATCAGGTAATAGTAATATTGTAGGTCACTGTTAAACGGTGCAGAGTTCAACAGAGCAGGCAAGTGAAAGCAGTGTATTTATCTAGGCTTTTTTACAGTATATTTATATTTTGAAATGAATTTGAATACCCTCACTAAACATCTTGAGCTTTTTTGTATTTAATTTGCTTTTTTTTCTTTAAGTATACTGGAAAATAGAAATGCTTCCTGTATTAAAACAATTTCTCTTCTTTTAAAAGTTGCTTTTGCAACAATTTTTCACTGGTACCACTTATTTAATACGCTCTGTAGAATTGTATTCTGAATTCATTATTTAACAAAATATTTCTCTTCGGGGGTTTAAGTGTGGGTCTTTTAAATAAACAATTTTTTTATTAAAAAAATGAAACCTTTCACTAAGCAGATTGACTTACTAGTTCAATTTTAGTGGAAGTATCAATTTTGGGTAATTTAAATTCCTTTCTCCCCTCCAGATATAAGAGGTAATCAGTTGGAAATTAGAGAGTTACTCTGTATTAATTATAGCTGGGGAGTACTTGTATGTGATTTCCTTGAGCTTAAGATCCTAAGCAGGTTTGTAAGCAAAATTCTGCTCTAATTTGCACAGGTATCTTAAGGCTGAACATTCCTTTCCTAAAATTTTCCCTAATACTTCTAGTTACACTAGCTGTCAGTTATATAGATACATACACTGAAAGGGACCGTGTGGATCACAGGATGTAGTTCGCCTGCAGTCTTCGGCCACCAGATAATAGCTGCTTACCTCAGAAGATTCTGTAACTGGCCACAAAATATTGACCAGTGCCCTTACAAAAATGTATAAACTATATTGATGAACAAAAGCCAAAACTATATATTATGTAAGGAGACACTAGAGGAAGAAGTAATGTCTTATTTGTCTGCAGTATTTAGGAAATTTGTTTACTGGACTTACTCTAGGAAGTTTACAAAGACTGTGCTTGGAATTGCCAGTACTGGGAGGAACAGAAATACTTTGTACAGCCGTTGGTTACTGTAACCCTGTATGTACAGAAAAAAAAAAAAAAAAAGGAAAAAAGAGGTCTGCCTTAAGCCAGAAAATTGAGACCCATCTGCCAAAATCCTATAGGCTATTTCCAATTCTGTTTTTATGTAGGTTAAACTCTACTGCTTGTCATCTTAATTAACGCATTTAAAATAATCGGGAAATTCTAACTATTTTATTCAGGTTTTTTTTTTAGTGTGGTATGGGTAATGTGATTACATTTTTTTTTTTTCCTTAAAAGGGAATCTGGAGCCCTCGAAAAATACCGAATCCAGACTATTTTGAGGATCTTCACCCATTCAAGATGACCACTGTCAGTGCTATTGGCTTAGAACTCTGGTCTATGACGCCTGATATCTACTTTGATAACTTCATTATATGTTCAGAAAAAGAAGTAGCAGATCGTTGGGCAGCAGATGGCTGGGGCTTGAAGAAATTAGTAGCCAGTGCTAATGAGGTATAAATTTTACTATTCTTTTGATAAAAGTAGTGAGGAATATGTGCTGTTGGAAGAATTTGCTGTCAATTAATGCTGACAGAATATTAATGTCTCTGCAATTAAGAATCTTGCTGAGTAACTATGATAGGTTTTTTTTTTTCTTGTAGTTTGGCTTTTTTCAATACCTTCTTGAAATTAAAAGGGTACAACATTTTACTTAAACACCTAGCAAGAAATTGGCTTCATTGTAGTTAATGTGTCTTCTGCTGTTCATGGTGATACTAGAAATACAGTACCTGTCAGCAAATGGAAGCTAAGTTACTTAGAGACCTCTTTTTCTTTTTTCTTGTGGCAAAGTCTATTACATATGTTCTTTAGCTGTTTCCCTCCCATGAGGAATAGTCATGTGTCTTTTCTTAAGATAATTTTAAGCCTTTGGCTGCTTAGATGTATATTATACAGCTCTGAAAATAGTGCACCTATGTTTATGGAGCTGCATCTGTTCTTCTGTTTCTCTGTGTGTATCCCCATTGTGTTTGTATATTACACTTGGCCAGCTACCACAGTTTTTTTTCTAGGTCTCTTTCCTGTGCTGTAGGATGAACTTGTCCTGACATACGGGATTGTGAGCCCCTCTAGTGGCTGCTTTTACTGACTACAGCTTCTTTCCGACAGTCCTACATTTTCATTGAGTGGCAAGAGCAGGCCTGCAATTGTGGGAAAGAAACGATGGGTTGGTGGCAAATGTGGCCAATTCCTGACAGCTGCTGTTTGTCACTGGATGAGCAAGTAGCAACAGCGTATCTACCCATGCAGTTAGGAAAGCCACCTCTTCCCACAACCTTGCCCTTTTCTGAAATATTTGGTTTTACATCTGGACCTGCATCTATACCTGTACACACAATAGCGAAAAATACTCCCTTGAGTCCCCTCACTCTGCTGTGCCTCTCAAACTTCCCACCTTAGCTGCTGATGTACCCTTTCCAGGGGTCTTATTGGAGCAGGCACTTGCCTACCTACCTCTACCATGTAAGTCAGAACTGGGCTGGGAGGACAGTTTACTCCCTGAATAATTGGCTGTCAAAAGAGAGAACATGGTAGTACAGACAGAGCTCTTCAGGAGGCTGGCTGCTGCTCTGAGGTTCTTGATGCTTTGGGAGCTTTCAGCTGAGTTAGCACAGCGTGGGGGAAAAAATAGAGTAGCTGGGAAGGGTGTAAAGTGTGAAGTTGCCAAGACTCCAAATGTCACTTTATAAAATTGAGTAGTGGTCAGTCTGGTATGTTTGGAGTACCAGGTTTGTTCCTTCTTACTTAGCACTTGCTATTTATTTGCAATCTGTCAACTTGTTGCTTTACTAGTATTGAAATCCAATATTGTTTTAGTCATTAAAAAGCAAAGGTAAAGAAGTGTTTTCTTTGGGCAACATAAAGCTTACACATTATAAACTTGTTGAAGTGCTGAGAGGGATGTAAATGCAAAAATTTTAAAATTATTTTAAATTGTTTTTAATATAGCCTGGTATGTTTAGTCAACTGGTGACTGCTGCAGAAGACCACCCATGGCTCTGGGTTCTTTACATCCTGACATTAGCTCTCCCTGTTGGTCTAGGTGTGTTGTTCTGCTGGCCAGCAAAGGTTAGAGAAATTTACTATATTTTTATTTGGTTATTCTGTATTTGAAAACTCCTAGCATCTCTACAACAATATGCACTTTTAATGTGCCATTGATATTACTTAGCTTACAGTGGCTGTTGTGTTTAATTCTTAATTTGAGTTTAAATGTAAATTGATGTTTAATTTGTTGTAGAAAGTAGATGAAGGTATTGACTTCAAAAAAATGGATATATCCAAGCCAATTACAAAGGGAGAACTAAAACAAGAAAGAGAAGAGTTAGAAGATGATGAAATAGAATTAGAAGAAGAAAAAGAAAATGAAGATACTGCTGAAGATGGTAAGTGAGCAAGCTAGCTTGCAGTTTGATTAAATATAAAGACATGAATAGGACTAGTTCTACTAGTTCAATACAATAGGATTGTATTGCCAATAATTACAACCAATTATCTTAGAATATGCAAAACCTGTCCTGATCTGAGTCATCTTTTTCTCTTTGACAACCTCCAGTGGGTGGCATTCCATGGCTAATAGCTCTTTGATAAATATAAACAGGAAAGTAAGGCTCTCTTCAGTATTTTTTCACTTTCCAGAAATTAATGTGATTCTGACAGTCTTTTTATGTTTGTAGATAGTGATGCATATTTTCTCCCTTCTAAATGTTTCATATTGAAGATATTTGGTTCAGATATATGTACCTGAAGTGGTTACAGTCACATTGTTGTCTCCTAAAATGTGTCTGTCTGGAATAGCCTTTAACATGGGTCTTTCTGTTTACTCCCCTGTGGGGGGGTTGTACCTTGACCTATTCTGTCAGTCACTGATTTTCATAACTCTTGTTAAAGCCTGAAAATACAGTAGACTTGAAAGTCTGCTGCTTCCTTTGTGTAGCTTTCTAGCAATGCATTGCACGCCTGCAGAGGTCTGTCCAGCTGCCCCAAGGGAGAAATCAATGATTCAGTAGGTTGAGCTATACTTTGGCACCCAAGGATAAAATTATCTTGTGTTACTGTACCAAAGATTACTGGTGCTATTCAACAATGGCTTTCTTCTGTTAGCATTTCCCTGAGTCTATAGTAATGAATAAAAAGCAAATCACCAAACTTACAGTGCATGATCTTGACTTCCATGAGAAAATCCTTAGCCTCAGACCTCTGCAAGGTTCTGCCTCTTACTTTACTCTTCCTTGGTAGGAGCAAAGAAAGTGACAAGTGACTGGCATGGAAAGTTAGAAACCTAGCAGACATTCACAGTGTTGTTTTTTTATCTTAATACTGATATTGCTTTGTATTACTGACTGCAACTTTACGGGTTTTGTCTGTCTCTGCGCTATGTTCCATGAGTGGTGATGGCTTCTGCCTGTATGACTTAAAAGTTTACTCAGCATCAGATGTTCCCATGCCAGTACTTACAGAATTGAGTACATTGTTGGCACAATACTTGCCACATCAAATTTAGTCCATCTGCCTTACCATTTGAGAGCCTTACCTAGGCATTTAATTATTTTAGTTATGTTATATATAATTTTACATTAGCATAAATTGTCAGTACAGCATTTCGGCAGTGTATCTTCCTACGTTTTCCTTTTGATCTTACTGTACTTTACCTGCTCTTTGCTTCTGAATTACAGAATCTGTTTTCTTTTACCCAGTCTTGATGCAGATCATAGATACGTTTTTTACCTAGTATGCTACTGTTGCAAGGCTGTCTGAGATACCTGAATTCCAATATTCTTCTGTTAAGTCAGTCAGTTAATTTAATTAATTACAGCACATCACTTAAATAATATGTTAAAGTGTGTGTTTGAATGTTGGAAGTAAAGTCTAGGCAATCGCAGAGGAAGGCTGTTTAGCTCCCACAACTTATTTAAAGAATTTTGCTTTGCACAGCTGTTCATGATGTTTCAAAAGGAGGTTCCATTTTAGACCTTTACTTCTACTTAGCAAACTGAACACAGAATAAAACTAACGTAGCTAGCTTTTTTAAGACTGTTCCAAGGTTTTCAAGTAAATTCTAGGCTTCAGAGGGAAGGATTACACTTTGCTGTCATATGACTTCCCGGTTTCTCTTTCTTTAAGAAGAATTGGTTAGCTGCCCTTAGCTTCCTGCCACCTTTTACATTTGCCAGTTGAAATCTTCCCTTTTCTTCTGTCACTCTTTTGCCTCTTCACATCTGAGAGTATTGGAGAATTTGTCTTCTGCCTCCTTCTGCTGATTCTTTTTGCTACAGAGAGAAGAGAAATGGAAGAGACAAAAAGAGAGCTTATAAAGGACACAAAGAAGATGGGAAGCGAGGCTCCTCCTTCAGGTACGGGAAAAGGGAAGTAATTTGGGCCAGGACCTGAAAACGGTCTCTCCTTTCTGTTGTTTTTTTCCCTCTGCTTCCTTGTTGATGGTAGAACTTCAAGCTGGTGGATGCCAGCTTATATCAGATACAGATGTGAGCTTCCTCTGAGATTTCTCAGTGTGGTATCTATAGTCATAAATATTTTCTACTAGTCTCTTTGGATCCTAATAATTTTTACAATTCCTTTATAGTCATTATCCACTTCTTTGTTTTCTGGGGTTGAAGGTAACGGGGTTTGAGCTGTGGAATACTGAATGACTTGACTTGAGATCCACATTTTATCACGGGGTCATTAAAAAAAGAAAAAACGTGGCACAATAGCAAATTTCAGAAACACTTGTAGATTTCTTTGGCTTCAGTGAGAATGAGTTGCTGGCAGAGTGCTTCCTAAAGAGCATAGTCCATGGGATTTACTGTTTTATTTTGTTCTATCTTAACCTTTGTGGCATTGCTAAAGGATGATGTGTTCTTTACTTGTTCACTCATCTGCTTTGTCTCCTTGCTTTCCTTGCCCTCTAGAAAAGTATTCCAGGAAGTAAGAGAACGTTGCCACGAAATGGAATTTCAGGGGCACAGTCTGAACCTTTTGTGTGAAGTTATACATTTATTTATATGAAATACTGTTTAATATTAGATTAAAGTGAAATCTAAATTAAAATTAATCATTTTAAATAGTATAGTTGTCCAGTTCTGGCTTTTACTACTTCTGATGCCTGAAGTTTTTTGCTTTGGTTTGGTTTTTTCCCTCTATTGAAATTAGTAGTTATGGGAGGTGCTGGATTGGCATAATTTAAAATTTCTAATTTCGTTGTTAGAAGAAGAGCAAAGAGTTTGTGAGTTTGGCAAGCTCTTCTGTTAAGGTCTTATTTTTAAAAGATAAATTTTTGTCTACATCTATCTTAAACTATGATCTCCGTTTTTGGTCATATTTCTCCTTTCGATAACAATACTAGAGACTTACTATTGTAGATATGTAGCAGGTATATTTACAGATGGGAATACTAAACTACTTAGAGCTCCACTAATTGCTATGAACTGTTTGGCTCAATTTATACTATAGGCAAAGTTTTTTGGTACTCCTACAAAAGTCTCAAATATTTTGATACATTAGGGGGGTTCTAGATTTTCATCACCAAGAATCAGGAGAGTCGCATCTTATATGTGACTACCATCTGAATTTATATGGTTGCTTTTGTTGGGGGTTGGCTTTTTGGTGTTTTGGTTTTTTTAACACTGAAGTGGTGCTTATGAGATGTAGGTATGACCTGGTAAGGAAAGAATTGAGCACAGCTTCATTACTGTTTTTAAGAGAGCCACTGGCAGACTGTTGAGTTGTAAAATTCCATCTTCTATAATTTCTATCAGACTTGGGTATGATTTTTTTTGTTTATTCTTGATAGAAAGTATTGCAAAGGGTACTCGATTTCTCAAAATTCTCACTTCAAGACCTTAGCTTGAAGTAAAGGAAGAGACTTGCCAAACCCCAGTAATGTTTCTTTGAATCATGCTGTGGTTGCTGAGGTTTAGTTCTTATAATGAGCACAGATGCCTAAAATGCAGGCATGGGAGTGCCAGCTTGCAAGTACTGAAGTGGAAATCAAACCAGTTGGGTGCCTGGCCTCCTTCGCAAAATATGCAGGATATAGAGAGTTGGTTACCCTAGAAGGGCAACCTACATGCTGGTCAGAGAGCAGCCTAGAATTTGCAATGTTTCGCACATGCGCTTCTTTTTAGAGCAGTGACATGGCCTCAGAAAGAAAGTAGAAGCCACCTTTGTGTTGCATAGTCTATAGTTTGTCCAGGGAATTCTAGAGACTAAAAAGGTACTCTTTTCCTTCTCCAGCCCCTGTCAGTTCAAAGGTCTAACTGACACCAGGTCTCACAGAAAGCTTACTGCTTTTTGTGGGTAGTTTTATCCTAGTAGTGCAAGCTGGACATACTTTGAGTGAGCTGAGGGGAGTACAGTGCTTTTCTGACTAGTTTCTGCATTGCAGTAATGTGTAAGAAGCGGGTAAGCACAGAGCTGCTTACCCCTCAAGCAAAACAATATGCCAAAAGAATTCCCTGCTGAAAAGGGGAGTTCCCTTAGGATGTAGGCATGCCCTATGGTGGATGACTGATAACTGCACTGTTGTACTGTGCTAAGTCAGAATTTAGTCAGATTTGGGATGCCTGAGTTGTCCTGTTTTGGACTCTGGTATCAAAACTGTCTAATATAATACTTGGATTTAAGGACTTCCCTAAAGGAAACCAACTTAAGGTTGTCATTTTAGTTGGTCACTTACAAGTCTGAAGAGAGTATGTCCTATTGTGAAAAGAGGCTGGGCTGAAGCTGTTAAAATTGGCTATTAAATCCAGCAGTGATCATTTTCTACTAATTCATGAGAATTCTACTCTCTGTATCACAGAGACGTTTTTATGGCTTATTGTAAACAAGCAGTTCATTCATTCTAAGACTGAAATGGGCTTCTTTTCCTTACTAGTATGTCTGGATATAGTGCATTTTTAATATAGTCCTGCTCACAAAGTAAAATACTTTCTTCTGCAGAAGATGAGGGTGGTGAAGGTATTGATGAAGATGAAGAAAATGAAGTTGCAGATGGAAGTCAAGAAGAAGGTGATAAGTCAAATAAATCTGGTTCAGAAGATGAGGTAAGTTTTGTTGGTTTTTTTTCCCGTTTTCTCCTTGTCCAACATTGAACTTCGTTACTGACTAAGACTAGTTACCTATAACAACAGATTTTCTTCTCTTGAGCCATAAAACAGATCATGAGGTGAGGATGTGCTTTTGAGTTTGACACCTCAAATGTTCTACATAGGTTTGTGAAACATGTCTCTTCCTGTGTAATTTTGGCTAGGAGGTGATATTATTGTAAAATACAGGTATAGTATAGAAATGATCATGCAGGTCTCTAAACATGAAATGTTCTTATAGGAGTATAGTTTTTAACAGGCTATTAAATGAGTTGCAAGTCTTGAAAATTTGGATGCTGCAGTAGATGTCAATCTCTCTTTATCGTGCTACTTAATTGATGGAACATGTGCTTCTAACTGAATAGCCTTTCAGTAAGACCTAGAAAAACCTTAAGCCTTCAGTTATCTTTGGGGCTTTTTTTAATTGCAAAATAAGGTTTTAAGCAAAATGACCATACTGGTTTTGAATTCAGCAACTGCCGTTTCATTTTGCTTGTGCAGATTAATCCAGTCACCAGATAATCTAGAAAATGTTTTTCAGAAAATAACATTGTAGAATGGTATTTGTGTGTGCTTTTCTTGCTCGTCAACTACTCGTTATCCTTTCATTTAGAAACTCTGGTATGTCTGAAATGCTTTAGATCCACCTACCGTATTTCTCTTGGTCATCTCATGCTTGCCACTCCCTCAGTGAGTCCCTTCCCAGATTAGGGGAGTTGTTTAATGTTAACTCCTTTTCATATAAAATTCCTCTAGGAAACTGTGCCTTGCATGAGGTTGCATTGTTTCAGCACTAAAATTCTTCATTAATTGCATTAATTCAGTACTTACTCTTGTTCCTGTAAGAAGTTTTTTTTTCCTTGTGCATTTACCTAGCAATACAGTATCTCATGAACCCCATTAAGATGCATGTGATTCTTTGTGAAAGTAATAACGAGATCTGAATGTGTGTATGCCACTACACAGTATCACAATGAGGTCATGGCTTGCTCTTCTCTGGGTGTTTACAGGGTGTACAAGTTTCTGTCATGAGTTAGCTAGTGACCTACTTGGGAGATGCCATGCACACCATGTCCTCACTCAGGTGATGCCACATTCTGTGAGCTGCCCCTTTGGAATGAGGTGCTTTTCATTAGGTGATGCAGGGAAGTGAGGAGGCAATGCATTGTCTGAGAATGGAGTTCATGCTGGAAAAGCCTTTTGTGCGCCTCTGTAAGCTAATCGCTTTTAAACAGAGAAGAAAACATCTGATTTAGGAACAGTTTTTTTCTATTTGTAGCTCTCCAAAGGCGGCGGTTAGAACGTTTTATATGCTTCTTGCTTAAGAAGTGGAAATTAGAATTAGCACAAAATACACTTTAAGAAAGTTGCTAAATTCATTAAAAAGTTGCTGCTTTTAAACCAGTGAGTAAATGGGCAAAACCAAATTTCTGGCATCAGTTTAGATGTACTGTTCTCTTCCTTCTGAATATAGAAAGGAAAAGTTTTCTACCCACCTTATTGTTAGATTAGTATTGTGGAAAAAAAAAAAAAAGTCCTATCACTTAAGTGTTGCATTTAGTGATCATATGATTGGGGTGTTGGGAGGCCGAATAAAGTAACATGCCAATTTCAATTTTGAATGGGTTTAAAATTTTAATAGTGTGTTTTTGTTTTTGGTTTTTTTTTTCAGATGAAAGAAGCTGATGAAGGCACAAGTTCTGGAGACGGTCCACTGAAATCAGTGCGCAAAAGAAGAGTACGAAAGGACTGAGTTACTTCAGCTAGTATTTGTAGGTCTAGATAATAGTAACTTTGGGTATGCCACTTCAGTGGGCCTGACAGCATGCAGGTTCCTGAGATTTGAAGGAAAAAGGGGGACCCATCGCTACTTCACCTTCTATTTTAATTCTCTAACCTCTTTTAACCTTCCTAAACTTCCTTGATTCCCTTTTTTAAGGAGAAGTACTATCTGTGAGGAGTTAGCTGATGTTTCAAATTCAGAATAAAAGTGAAATTACGGGTTGGCCAACTGATGTTAAGGTGAAGATTCTTAAGATGTGAAGACTCCTAGGAATTGGTATTAGTTGGAGATAAACTTACTTTAAATATTTTTTAAAAACATGAATAAATTATAATATTTTTGCAGCTCTAGCACAAAATTAGCTGTTTACTTTTTTCAGATGAAAAAGGATGATAGTTTAGATGTAGCATCTATAGCAGTTCACACTGGTATGAGAAAAGGTATTTTTTTTTTGTGCAGAGCTAAATGCAATAATTGTTTTTGTATGATGATTTACTGCTAGCAAGGATTTTTATTGTAAATTATTTATTTTAGTTGATCTTGTTACATGAGTGGTCACCTGTTCACTTTAGACATTGGTTACAGTAATTTATTTCTGAGAGATATCATAGAAAAAGTGGTAATTGATGTGACTTGTTTTACTTTTGAATGCAGGTATCAGATCTGCAGAGGTGATATACAGATGATTTTTTCAAACTTTTATAGTTCTCATGTTCCAAGCCAGAGTGATATCATCTCTGTTTGTAGAATACTTGCTAAGTATACATTGCCTCCTAAAAATATTTAATAATTCTTGCTTAACATGAAATTTATTAATATAGATAAGAATTTTTGATGGATTAAGTTTTTTACAGATCGGAGTAACTGGGCATTCTCATAATATAGTTTAAATAAACTGCATATTGTAAAAGAAACTTTGTTTTGTTGAAGTTCAGCTGTATATAAAAAAAAAACAAACCCAAACAAACCAACCAATAAAACTGCTGTCACCAGAAACCTCTTGCTGCTTGGCAGCTGCCGTTAATGTTAGGGTGTAAAAAGCTAGCAAAAGCAGTCATACATTAAAAACAAGTAGAAATACATTCATTCATAAGGAACCAGCAGATTTCCTGGGGCCTGGCAAGAAGTTAGCTCACTTGAAGAAATATTTTCACAGCAAATCAAGTCAGCAAAGATTCCGTGGAAGTCTCTAGCAAACGGGTGCTTAATTAACCCTAATGAAGAAGCCAGTGTCTTCAAGTGCTTGTGTTGAAGGATTCAAAAGTTAATTATATTGGACTTTAGTTTGTGTGAACTACATAGAAACGCCTCTGGTTTTTTGGGGGGTGTTTTTTGGTGGTTTTTAAATGCAAGTTCCCTCCTCTTTATTTAGAGTCTACATGCAGAAGGTAAGAAGTGAAGACTCCAGATTCCTCTTCCTGTCTGTGACTTCTCAGCAATAGCTAGAAGTTACCACCAATGCGGTATCCTGCTAGCAACAGCTACCATGAGCTGTGGGGGAGCATTTCAGGACTCCTTTCGAATGAATCTTGTCTTGAGCCTGGCAAAAGTCCTTTGGAATTGTTAACAGCATTTGGGTATTGTTTGGGGGTTGGTTTTTCTTTGGTTGGTTTTGCTTTTTGTTGCTGTTTTTGTTTGGTGCGATATAGTTACTCCAGGGATTGGTCACCCCACAGGGATGCTAGTCTTCCCTTAGGGTTTTGAACTTAAGGTTCCCATAAAGTCTTGATTAATGCCCCATCAACATCTTTGCTTGTTCCTCACTTCAGTAAACAAGGAGCCATTTATTATGGGTAAAATGGTTTTGTAAGGCCCCTGGATCAAGAGTGCGGTTTGCAATAATACGGACTCTGTAAGGCCTATCTCAGTTTAATACTGACTTAATGACTTAGATTACCTGGAACCTGGAGATAGAAGACATCCTTCTGCACATCAGCTTACTTGGATCTAGTCTTATGCTAGTAATTAGGGGAGAAATATCAGAGCTTTGTGAATTTGAGGGTCTAGATCTAGAAGGCCAGGCAAAAGGGGAACCCCTTCCATTGACACTCGGAACACTGAGATTTCACCTGCGGTTCCTGTGCGTCATCCATTTATCTCTCGATGGGTATTTCAGGAAAAATACTTGATCTTGCTATCATGGCTGCTTGAAAGTGCTTTGAAATGAACAAACTAATGATAATCCAGTTTCAGGACGCCTTGCTATTAAAACTGTCAGTAATCTTTGGAACTCCACGAGTATCAGACCTCTGCAGCCTGCACTCCCACCGGCTACATCAGAGCTTAGTAAAAGTGGTCTTACTGAGGACACCAAATCCCAGGCTGAGAATCTTCTATATTCAGGGAAGGCCAAGTAGGACTGAGGTCTTTTTAATTGCAGATGAAGTTACTCCTCAGTTAGCTTCCACCTTCCTGAAGGTGTGAAGTAGTAATTCTGGGTTCTGGGTAGAGCTCATTACCTGTGTAGGAAAAGGTAAAATCTCTTCTAAATTGGTTTAAAGTTCTCCCAGGGGGAGAGGTGCAAGTTTTAGCTTTGACAACATTGGTTGCAGTCTACCAATCCTTTCCTTTTGGCCTTTAGCCAGAACAGAAAAGTACACAGAAATGTTAAGATTCATGGGTGAAAATACCAAGTGAGTCAGGAACTGGCAGCTTGCTGAAAATAGATTAATTAACCCAGGTTTAATCTTAATACTTACTAATGACATCTAGTCTTTCGATACTTCAGCTGTGTAGAAACAATAAGATGATGGCAAACACTACTTTTCCACCTTTTCACTACAGATAGTTATGAGAAGTTTTAGGGTTTACAAATGTTAAACCAAACTAATTGAGACAAATCAGAAGTTTTTATTTAGTGTAAAGTCAGAAATACAACATGTTTAAAATGTTCATAAATTAAATGAAGGCCACAGTAGTGGGATATAAAATGGTATATAGATGAAATGACTACTATATATATACACCAATGGATGAAATATCACTATCCAAGCTTACAATACAAAGCCATGATTTTAAGCCTACTTGATCTCAGGAAAATTGCTGAAGTCTAACAAGCGCATGCTCTGTTACTGCTTGATCTCCTACAGTGCAGATGGTGATGTGCAGTGACACGGCTTTAAAGCGAGGATGGCTGTAATGCAATGCAATCTTTAGAAGTCAAGTGCTCAGTGTGATTTTTTTTTTTTAATGCTCAAACCCTGGACTAACCATGTGATCTACTCTACCTCCTAGCAATTCTTAGATGAATTTCGAGTTCCAGATAGGCAATAAAGTGAGACAGTAGTCCATAGAAGATTAAAAATAATTTTGGATGTTTACAGGACGCCACGACACAAATGGTATCAGCCATTTGTGCCTGGGTGGTTAAAACTTTTCTAATCATCAGGTTCTCAGACTTGTAAACAGCCCTCGAGACTGAACTATTAGTGCTTTGTTTGCAGTCATTTGACTTCCGGTGAGCGTGGCACAGTTATCTTAAACAAGGAGAAATGGGAGACCCCTCCTTTGGGGGGGTGGGGGGCGATGACCTCACATCATCAGCTTACACTTGAGAGAAGCAGTGCTTCACTGCCAAGAAACTTGAGGTTTGAGAGGGATTTAGTCTACTACTGCATCTACTGGTTCAGTTCCTGCAGCTTTATTCTATAGAATTCATCACACAAATTGAAACGGATCCTTGAACTAGTGATTTCCTTTTGTTAAAAGGTAAAGTACAATGGCTTCATTACTGAAGAGACCGACCTTGGTTCTAGGTAACATCTGTAAAGAAGTCTGCAATGCTGCTGTATGGCAAGATAACACAGATGCAAATGAGTACTGCTAAAACTTACATCGTTGTTTGTATTTAAGCTTCTGCTCTCCCTTAATACTGATTATGCTAGACACTCTGCCTCTATGGGAAGTGCTCAGACCCATAATCTGGGCTGAGCTCCTTTACAAAACCTGCTAAGAAACAGCCAAGCCAGTAAAACACAGGGCACCTTGACACTAGGCATTGCTCAGAGCAGCACACATTTGGGAGGCAAAAGCCACCTTTGTTCCACTGCAGTCTTCTGCCTTAGATGCTTTTGTGCAGTGCCTCAAGAGGTACTTCACAAGCTCGGGCTCTGGGGCAGGAGAACAGTTGCTCTAAGGCCTGAAGCAAAGACAAGTTTGGCACTTCAGGAGGAAAGTAAAAGGTGGTAAGGAAAGACTTGTTCTCAGCTCCTCACTGCATTGTTCACCATGAGCATGAGGAACGTTGCTGGCCGCCTGTTTCTGTAAAGCTTATTACTCGTTTTTATTTAACTCTTCATCACACAACTGAAAAGCTTCAGGAAGATCATACATCGTGATGCTGTGCCTCATCATTCTTTGAGGAAACAGGAAAGTGGGAATGGTTTGACATGTACATCTTACAAGCTACAAACACTCTGATGCTGCACCAATTTGGCATTTCCCTGATGTAAGTTGCTTGTCCTTGTTCCTCTTCCCTTACCCTCCCCCTTCCCAAAAACTCTTAAGTGTTTTTCTGTACACAAGCCCTGCAAGTAACATACTATTGTTACTTCGTTAACGCTCTGGAGAGTACTATACAGTAATCTAAATATATCTGAGGTGAAAAAGGTGATGCAATTAGACTTTGAATATTTTTATCAAATGAGGTTTTGACACAATATTATAACTATTATTTTGCTAGTCAAGAACACTACCGTAAGACCTCAAAGAGCACCAGCAGACTTTTGCTTAACCTGACAAACTGAATCCAGTTCTTACAAGATACGCTCTTTTATAAAACAAATATGAAGGTTTAATAAGTCTCTACACTACATTTGCACATTGCTTAATCTTAACAATAAACAAACTTTGTCTCCCGTTCATGATAATGTTCTTAATTCTGTTTACCACCAAAGTTTATAATCTTCAGGTACCCAGTAAAGCCACAAACTAAGGTATTTTAGCTCATGTAGCCTATGCCAATTAAAACAAAAAAAGACAGCAGCAATACAATGACATCATCTGTCAGTCAACCCTTACTTCCTTTTGCTTTTTGTGTCAGTTGTTTGGAAAACACTAGATGCTGACATCAGATTTTCTATATACTGTCCAAGAACTTGGTTTTCTGATTTCAGTTTCAAGTTTTCTTCCTTAACAGCATCTACTCGTGCTGAGAGATCTGCAAAGGTGATATTGTAAGAAAAATATTAGACGCTATTGCATACAATAATAAATATGTTCTATGTGCCCACATTAAAGTATTCACACTTTTTAATGCAGGAAACAGTGTCACAAAGTATTATCTTATAAAACACTGCGCTAGTCGCAAGTTTTATCTAAAGCCCATTTTTCCTATATTATTTTGTAGTACAGTATTTTGACAAACGTTACACAAATGTACCGTTAGTCTGTATCTTTATTCTTTTTCTTGCATTTTTGAATTAAGCTATTGCAAACTGAACTAGCTGGAAAGAAAAGTTCAGTGATGAGCAGACTCAAAGATGTATGTCAACTAATGAGCCTGGGAAAGTTAACCGTGTTGCCCCCTCTGCTTGATGTGTATTACGAGTCCAGCAAGTGTTATGTTGCGTAAAAAGGAAAAACAAAAAATTATTTCTGAGGCCTTGCTTATGTACCTTCAACTGTGTGACATACTTCTGGACACTCTAAGGTAGGGCAGAGCAGTAAGGTTCTCTTCTTTTGCTTATTACCGTGTGCTAGTAAAAAATCTGATGTGTCAAACTGCTAACCTTCAAGTGTGTGCTGCAGTTCCAAAACTTGATTAATGAGCCGTGTTTTCTCTTCTAATTCCACCTGATTCTCAGCCTCAACAGCTGCAATAAATCATACAAGTTTTAATGCAATGTCTGCAACAGTTGGAAATTACATTAAGTAGAAAATAACAATGAAGAAGAAAAACATTAAGAACTTATACCATCCATGTCGGCATTCATCATTGTAGAATGGGTGCTTTCCACTTTTGAAGAGAGTCTTCCTGAGAGATGCTCTGCTTAAAGGGGAGAAAAAAAAGAAACACTGAAGCAACCATTAATGTAACCGCCTTTATACTTGGATTTTAGATGCATTTTTCTAATTGGTGTTGAAAAGCCAGCACTTAAGCCTAAGGCAGAACAACATTATTTAATGTCCTTTCATTATTTTTCCTAGAGCCTTATGCGGTATGTAAACGTGATCCTTCAAGTAACTATGCTCCGGTTTACAAAAACGACTGAGCTCGATTGCTCTCGAATGCATAAAACGACTCCGTGTTTCAATGATACAACCGCCGCCTTCCCAGCGCCGATCCTTCTGGAACCGGCTGCTGGAGGAGCACAACGGCAGCAGCCGCCGCCTTTCGCTGCTCTCACAGGCGGACGCTGGGCCTGCCGGGCGCAGCGACGGGCCTGGTAGCTTCGGGCCCTGCCCCCGCACCCCGGCCCTTCACTGCGGGACGGAACGGGAAGGGTTAAGGGCAGCGCTCGTGCGCCGGCCCCGCT